GCATTGTGAACTGCGTGCCTCGGTAGGAAATGATGGAAATGGGCACGCCATGCAGGCGAATAATCTCCCAGATGTAAATCTGAGCCAACCGATATGAAAAATAGGAAGTCATCACCGAAACAAAGTGTGCGGACTTAGCCAACTGTCCACAATAACCTAGATTGCATCATATTTTTTCAAGTTTTGTGGTAAGCCTGCCATGAAATCCATAGTGATGCACTCCCACTTCCACTCCGGTATATCCAATCTCTGAATCTACCCTCCCGATTTCTGATGCTCATACCTCACATGTTGACAATTCAAATACCGAGAGACGTAAGCAACAATATCTTTCTTCATTCCCTGCCACAAATAGTGTTGTTTCAAGTCACGATACATATTTGTGACACCTGAGTGAATGGAATAGCGCGAGTTGTGACCCTCCTCAAGGATCAAATCTCTCAGCCCATCAACATTTGGAACAAAAATCCGGCTTTGAAGCTGCATAACACTATCATCACCAATTACAACCTTCTATTGTGCTAGAACGCAAGCAAGAACCCAACTAGGCTCCGAAACATCCAATCTCACAAACTGATTGGCCAAAGCTTGAACATCCATGGCTAGTGGCCACTCTACTATCGGTAAATATGCCAAACTGCCCATACTCTCAGCCTTCCTACTCAATGTGTCGACCACTATATTGGCATTCCTCGGATGATATTATATATTTATATCATAGTCTTTCAACAACTCTAACCATCTCTGCTGCCGCAAATTAAGGTCCTTCTACTTGAAGAGGTGCTGGAGACTCCGATGGTTGATATAAACCTCACATGGAATGCCGTATAGATAATGCCTCCAAAGCTTCAGCGCGTGAACAATGACTGTCAACTCTAAATCATGCATAGGGTAATTCTTCTCATGAATCTTCAATTGCTGAGACGCGTAGGCAATCACCCTACCGTCTTGCATCAACACAGTTTCAAGCCTAATACGCGATGCATCACAATACATGGTGTAATATCCCAAACCTGTAGGCATTGGGAATGTAGTCAATGCAATATTGAGCTTTTGAAAGCTCACCTGACACTTGTCGGACAATCTAAAAGGGGCACCCTTCTGAGCCAATCTAGTCAAAGGTGCAGGAATGGATGAAAACCCTGAAAGTACAAGAGGGGGAGGGGTAAATTATAGCCAAATTAAAAACTTAGTTGACTTTGAAGGGAATTAGTCGACTAAACTTTTCTAGTAGGTTCGATTTGCAACATAAGTAAGTTGTGCATAATAAAAAGGTAAAGACACATGAATTTTGCACTGGTTCAGTACCATGGGTCATAATGGTTCTCTTAGATCTTTAATAATTCATTACAACAGTAGTGATTTTAGTTCGTTCACCACCAACGATATTTAGCAATAGTGTTTGTCTAAACTTCACACAACTCTTGTTTTGTTTTCTAACTCATCCTATCTTTTGTAATACTTGTAAACTCAAGAAAACAATATTTGAACTAAGAACTAGAAAGGTATAAAAACAGTGGTAAGTTGCGTAACTTCTTCTTTTGTCTTTTAGTCTTGTTATATGAGAGTCTTGAGATCTTGTAATCTTCTTGTTGAGCTAGACGTTGCATATTGACCATTGATTGAGGCATGAATATTATAAGAGATTTGATCCAAGGGTTGCCTCTGAATCCTACTCACAAGATGGGTTGGATTCAATGATCTCCTTCCTTTTCGTGTTCCTGATTAAGGGAGTGATTTGCGAGTTGGCTTGATTAATCAATCACCAGAATCTTCTGATTACCTTTACCGAAGTTCTCCTTAATTTACGAACTGGCTTCCCATATCAGCTGCATTTGATCTTATTTACTTTTTGATAACATTGTCATACTGATTTCCTTTGGCTTTCTCTGATTTAGCAATGTCATTCTGATTTTCTGCAATCAAGTAGATTAGATTATATTTGCACTATTGTCATCATTAAAACTTAGGTGTAACAATATCCCCCTTTTTGATGATGACAATCAAAAGGAGTAAACAAAGCACAATTCCCTTTTTCTTTTCGTGAAGGCCTCCCCTGATTTCGTGCATGCTAGAATTTTGATGCTAATACTGCTCCCCCTGAGTTGTTGCTCTGCTCTGCTCCCTGCGTTGCTGCTCTGCTTTACTCTAATGTTTCTCCCCCTTTCACATTAATTAAAAAGAAAGATGGAAGTGCAGGCATAAAGTAATATGTAATATAGCAGATAATGAATATAGCAGTTAAGGTAGCGGATATTATGCCTTCAGCTGAGGCACGTAGTAATGGTTCTTACACACCAAAGCAAAAAATAAAGTACCAAAAAAAAATGTTTTTAAACACACACATAGTGGCCTTAGTTCCTCCCCAGAAAGTATTTTAGGGTAGTGATCACTTTGGTGCAGAAAGAGTCATAGGAGGTTTCAACTTCTTTGGTGAGTTTTTCCATTTTCTCTGTCATTGAGTTTAATGCCATGATTCCTTACCTATTTGTGGCTCCCATATCCATCCTAATCTTAGCCACATCTGTACCTATTTCTTTAGTGACCTCCCGGATCTTGTCCACTTGTTTTTTCATGGCAATGAGCATGGTTTTTACTCCATCTAGTCCTTGATGAATTTGCTGTAAGTTGTTGGTGGCAGTCGATTGAGGCTCTGGGGTTCAGTGGTTGACTTAACCTGTATCGGAGTGCTTCCAATCTTGGCACGTTCAACCCATCCATATTCACTTAAAATGTAGCCCATCATAGCAAAGGTTGTCTTATCATAAGTACCTGAGATAAACTTGGGAGAAAAAGGCACCAGATCAACCTTCATTACTTCTAGAATATGTAAGATACACATGACATAGGGTAAACAAGTAGCAGAGGAAGATATGTCCCTAATACTCTCAAGCATATACTGACAAATCAACAGAAATCAGTCAAGTCTTTTATTGTTCACAAGACAGTACAAGACAAAAATATCCCTAGTGGTTAAAGTGCTGAAAGATCCAGTCGTGGGAAGAAGAGTAGTAGAAATCATGTGAGATAACACATGATGTTCAAACTTTAGACTTTTAGGACCAATATCTGGGGGGTTTTCAGACAGGAGAGCTTTTGCCTCTTCTAGGGACACTTCGAAATCTTTTGGCCAGAAATTTTGAACAAACACATCATAACCATTAAACTTAGCAGAAAAATCTTCTCAAATTGATATGCATCAAGAACAATACGAGTACCTAGAACCATTGACTCCAAGTCATCCTTGTCATTTACAAACAGATTGACATAGAACATTCGCACAGGTTCTTCATACATAGTGTTTCCAACAGTATCAAATAAAGGAGAAAGGCGTTGAAAGTCAAAAATTAAAACAACATCATAGTGAATATATTTCATAAGAGAGACTTACAAAGTGCCCATAAGCCATAGATTTTGACTTATAGGATTCAAACCTCGATTTCGCAGCTGGACCGTAGAAGTTCAATTTGTCCTCCGACCCAAAATCAATGCTTTATACTTTCCCCTTCTTGCACGCAGGTATTTTGGGGGTTTGATCCATAGGTCTCTTCCCAGCCTTTTTCTAGTTTAGAGTTTGATCCTCTGACGAGTCACTACTCTTATTATCATTTTTAAGAGGGTCTGAGTCAAGGGATGACTCAAGGTCGACGGTTTCTTTAGGGTTTTGGGACTTTTGGACCGTCTACTTCGTCTTATTACAATAGAAGATGAGAGGTTTCTTTTAGCCATGATAGTAGAGTTTGGTAAGAAGTGATGAAGAATGAGAGGGAAAGGGGTACTTATTTAGGCGCTTGGAAGATTGAAGGGTTGCATTGGTTCGAGGAAGGGTTGGGTACAGACTGAAGTGACACTTCTGAGGAGTTGATTCGGAGACACCAATGGAAAGTAATAATTACACTCACATCAAAATAATGAAGCCTATCAATTCAGCAAACTCATAAAAGGAAGTAAAATATTTCGCAAATATTTAAAAGATTTTTACGCAGTAAGCAAGATACCTATCTTACTACGCAGTAGGCAAAAACGTTCTTCCAAAAGAGGTTTTGTAAAAATATCAGCAAGTTGAGACTCAGTATTAATAAATTCTAATATTATATCACCTCTAGCAATATGATCACGAATAAAATGATGCTTAATTTATATATGATTTGCCTTGGAATGATGCACATAATTTTTTGATAGACAAATAGCACTCGCGTTATCACATAGGAGTGGAAGTAAGATTGAGAACATAATCATGAAGTTGATGTATAATCCATTGAATTTGAGTGCAACAACTACCAACAGTTAAATACGTTTTACTGCAGTCAAATGTGATTCTTTTGGAGCTGACTGAAATCTTGCACACTTACAAATACTGAACATTATATATGGTCAACTAGCCGTGAGATATAAAAGGGATCCAATCATTCCCTTGTACATAGTTTCATCGACACTTTTTCATTTTTGTCTTCTTTAAGAATTGTTGACTGACTCATTGGAGTTCCACTAGGCTTTGCATTCTCCATACCAAAACTTTTTAATAAGTTCCTTTGTGTATTTGGTTTGAAGATTCCTTTGGAAGATTGCTTGATTTGTAATCCAAGAAAGAAAGCCAGTTCTCCCATCATGCTCATTTTGAATTCTCCTTTCATAGTATGAGCAAATTCCTCACATAACACAGAGTTAGAACTTCCAAAAATAATATCATCTACATAAATTTGAGTAATAAGATTACTTGAATTTGAATGCTTAATAAACAGAGTTGTATCAGTATTACCTTGTTTGAAGCCACGATTTAACAGAAAAGAGCTTAGTATTTCATACCAGGCTCGGGGGGCTTGTTTGAGTCCGTATAAGGCTTTTGATAAGTTGAAGACATGATTTGGGAGACTGTTGTTTACAAACCCAGGAGGTTGTTTCACCTATACTTCTTCAGAAATATATCCATTTAAGAAAGCACTTTGTACATTGATTTGAAATAGTCTGAACCCTTTATGAGCAACAAAGGCAAGTAGTATTCAGATGGATTCCAATCTTTCCACAGGTGCAAAGGTTTCATCGTAGTCAATTCCCTCTTGTTGTGAGTAACCTTGGGTAACTAGCCTTGCTTTTTTGTGAACTACTTGACCAGATTCATTCAGCTTATTTCTGAAAACCCATTTAGTTCCCACGATAGATGCATCAGAAGGTTTTGGAACTAAGTTCCATACTTTATCCCTTTCAAATTGATCAGGTTCTTCTTTCATGGCTTTGACCCAGTTGTCATCTTTGAGAGCTTCATCAAGTTCACTTTTCCATTCATTTGGGATGGCTGAGACTGACTCCTTTTCAATGGGAGTTGATTGTTCAATAGTAGGTGATTCCTAATTTTCCATGTTGCTGTTAGTCGACTGATGTTGCTGGTTAGTCACCTCATCGTGAATGTCCTTCCCTGTAAGAGTAGATTTTGGGACAATGTAAATTTCCTCATCTTCAGGATGTTTTTCATTCCTTAAGTGAGGGTTAGTATCCACAAAAACAACATGAATTGATTCCTCAATAGATAAGGTTCTTTTATTAAAAACTCTATATGCTCTACAAAAGGGAGAATATCTAAGAAAAATACCTTCGTCGCCTTTTGGATCAAACTTACCAAGGTTTTCCTTTCCATTATTGTGGAAAAAGCATTTGCAGCCAAATAGATGAAAGTAACTGATGTTGGGTATTTTACTATTCCATAGCTCATATGGAGTTTTTTTAGAATAGGTCGCATCAAACATCTGTTAACGATGTGACATGCAGTGCTTACAGCTTCTGCCCAGAAGTGGTGTGAAAAAGCGTTTTCCACAATCATGGTTCTTGCCATATCTTTCAAGGTTCTATTTTTCCATTCTACCACTCCATTTTGTTGAAGTGATCTTGGGGAAGATAAGTTGTGAGAAATTCCTTGATCAATGCAGAAGTTTTCAAAAGCCCTGCTTTCAAACTCTCCTCCATGATCACTCCTTATGGCAGAGATGTAATATCCTTTTTCCCGATGTACCTTCTTATAAAAGACTTCAAAATTCCTTAATACTTCATCTTTATGACTCAGAAAAATAACCGAGGTGAATCGAGAAAAATCATTTACTATAACAAAAGAATATTTTCTACCACCAATGCTAGCAGTTCTGGTTAGAGCAAAAAGGTCCATATGCAAAAGTTGAAGAGGTTTTGTAGTAGAGACTATGTTTTTAAATTTAAAAGAGGAATGAGTTTGCTTTCCTAACTGACATGCTTCACAAATTTGATCTTTTGAAAAATTTAGTTTTGGAAGACCAATGACAAGATCGCGTTTAGAAGGTTTTTCATTGTATGTATGCTAGCATGACCAAACTTTCTATGCCATACTCAAGGATCATCAATCATAGAAGCTAGACAATTTGATTCGCTAGGCAATTAGTATTACTAAGAGTATAGACATTTCTATCTCTATTTCTAGATAACATGATTTTACCCGATTCTTCTTCAATGAACCAACCATGTTTTTTAAAATGAACCTCATAGTCACTATCATATAGCTGACTGATGCTGAGCAGATTGTAACCAAATTCATCTACCAAGTAGAATTCATCTACATCACATGATGAGCTGAGGGGGACTCTTCCTATTCCAATTATATTTCCTTTTGATTTGTCTCCAAAGGTGACTGATCCACCATTGAGCTTAGTGACAGATTTGAATAATTGTTTGTCACATGTCATGTGTCTGGAACACACGCTACCGAGATACCATTTCCCTTTTCGATTCTTCTTGCGGTGTTCCTGCAAAAACAAATTACTTATATTTAGGTACCCAAGCCTGCTTGGGTTCTGGACGGTTAGTATTCTGATTGTTCGAGGCCTTGGGTCGCCAACCCATCTTTTGTTGTTTTTAAACCTGCAATGGTTAGATGTATGGCCAAGTTTTCCGAAATAAAAACAGCATGGATCATTAAGTCTTTCAGAAGTCTTTTCTATGCTATTTCTAAACCTACAATGGTTAGAATTGTGACCATCTTTACCACAATGAATGCATGCAAAATTTTCAAAAGCAATTATATCACCTCTTAGTTCATCATATGACATTTTGTCAAGATCCTAACATTCCAGAGCAATAACCTTGGGTTTCCAAATGGTGGTGTATCGGTACTAAAGATCTCACAACTTAAAAGTATTGAAACTTGCTTGAAAAACTTGTCTTGCACCTAACTTGATGTCTTGGTATTGTTTGAGGCTCCCATTGATTTTATGATCATTCTCCCTTGTTTATTTACTCATTCTATTGATAGGGTGTTTAGTCATTCATACTAGTACTATTCCATATGTACTAACGTTCGTTTTGCTGGGGGCACTGCATCTTTAATGGATGCAGTTAGTTCGTCAGCACACAACTTTGATCCTTGTTAGCAAATACTCTCTATTCAGTAGGATTTGGCGAGCCCTAATTTTTTCGGGCCCGATGTCACTTGATGTGGTACTTTGTGTTGAGGTATAGCCGGGGCCTTGTCGCCGGCACTTCTATTCTACTCTTCTATTGTACTTAAAGTCTCCGTAAACAGGTTGTGGGTTGTGTTTGATGATGGGAATTAAACTAGAAGTGTTGGTAGTTGGCAAATATATTTTTCATTATATCTATAAACTTATAATATTTTGGGGAATCATAAATGAATATCCTTTGAGTAATGGAAAAACAATGTGGAACACTTGACTCTTCTCATGTCTATCACTTGTATTGATTCTTATATTGTTCATGGGAAAGGTTGGGTAGAAGACATCTAGCATGCTTGCTTAACCGAGGTATCTTGGCTGGGCACCGGTTGCGCTCCTCGAGATCGAGGCGTGACAAAATCGGGATGAGCGTTATCCCCAATTTTATCCGTATACAGATAGTCCCCTCATTTTCTAGAGAGTAGGTTTTACGAAATGATGGGAAACGATAGATGAGCCCCGGTTCCTTCCTTCGGACGTTACAACCGATGTAACGGATAAGCCAAAATATCCTGTCAGTCTCGTCGTTTAGACTTCAAACACATGTCAGTCACCGGCTGGCTGTATTTGAATATGAAATGTCGTGCACTGACTGCTTTTTCTCTAGAAAAGCTTCGACCTTTTACATTTCTTACACTTTCCGATCCTAACTTTTACCTTCAAATTTTCTAACGGCTTCTAACTTTTTCAAATCTTCATACCCTGCTTCGTGAACCTTCATATCTTCATCTCCGATCTTCAAACCTTCATATCAGTTCTTGGATATCCAACCCAGATCTTCATATCTTCATCCCACTTTCAAACCTTCATGTTTTTCCTTTGAATATTCATGTGTCCCTTCAAATCTTCATATTTTCCCAGATTACGATGGCTAAAACTTCCAAGTCAGTGCCTCAGCAGGCTGCCCCTTCATCTTCCTACCCGACTGCAGATGTCAAGGTGGCTCCTCCCGATATGGCTCCAAAGCCCCCCATGAAAAGCTTCATACCCGGGGGCTTCTCTATCGGGGATAACTTCAAGGTCGAGAAGGTCTCTAGACAACAAGACCGGGTCGAGTGAGCATGGAGATACATATGCTCCATTACCGAAAATTCCTTTCCCATAGTCGGGTAAAGACGTGGTCTTCCCCAGGACAAATGACAATATTACTACCCACGTGAAAGGGTACATAAGCTTCTATACTTACCCCTTCACACTGGGCCCGGTAGATCCCGTAATCCTAGGCTTTTGCAAGATATATGAGGTGTGCCTCGGGTAAATTCACCCATCGCTTTGGAGGATCGTGATCCTCCAAAGTCATTTCGTGAACAACACTGACCACCCACGGTTTACCCTCGACCATCTGCTCCGCCTATATAGCCCCTGAATTTACTGAGGGGGACTGATCAAGCTTGTCCGTCGAGCAAGTGAGGCCCTATTCTCGAGCACTGACGAGGATCGAGACCGAGGATGGCAGGGGAGTTTTGTTCAGGTGAAAACCGAAGATCTGGTCCCTCCCGAGTTTCTACCATTCCCCGAGAAGTGGAACTTATCTTGTAAGTGTTGTATTTATTAAGTATTAACTTCCTTTTATTCCTTCACTTATTGCCCGTATTATGGACGTGCAGTTATTGCCCGAGTTCCTTATGCTATCCCCCGATGCAAGGAGTGGATCGAAGGGATCTGTAGGCATATTTCGTACTCCGATAGCACATGGCGCAAACTTTAGAAGGGAAGATGGGAGGCCCATTCTCATGGTAAGGTTCTCCCCTAAAATAGTTACTATCACGCTCTTTAATTTATACAGTTCTAACCTTTTATTGTTTCTTACAGGCCTGCCTAAGACCACCAAACTTAGTCGCTTGATGAGGATGAGAATTGGTATTTTCCTGCCAAGCCCTCTATTTTGGAATAGCCTGGGGCTACCGCGAAGGAGGAGAAGAAGAAAAAGAGAAAATCCTCGAGTTTTCCCGACCTCGAGGGGAAGAGGAGGAAGAGGTCGGCCACCCGAGCCCGAAAGACCAAGAAGAATACCAAGTCTAGTGTACTAGATCCTAACTATCTCTACCGGCTTAGGGATGAGCCTGAAGAAGATGACATCTTCGTTACCCATGGATCAACCCCAACTGGGGAGCAAGCGACGACCGAGAAAGGGGATCACGAGGTCGACCCCCTCCTAGGTCGGGAACCTGAGGGGGAGATGGAGGATGCGACCTCCCAGGAAGCTGCTCCTATTTCGAAGGAGATGATTGATGTCATTGACATCACGGATATGCCTTCCTATACCGAGTCCATGCTCTAAAAGACCCAAGAGGGTAAAGAAAAGTCAAGCGAGGGAGTGCAGGGTTCAGACGATCCCTTATATTCCTTTTTCGATTGTATGTACATGTCCACATTGGAGTATTTTTCCGGGCTGGGCCACTTGAAGATCCCTAAGAAGGACGTGCCCTTGGGAGCTGGCCAACCGAGTTCTACCCCAAAACTGGTGAAGTGGTTTCCCGCACCGAGTGTGGACCCCGAGCGCAAGAGAACAATCGTCCTCATAGTCCTACAGGACGCCCGAGTCTTGTCTGCTCAGTTCAGCATAGCTAGCTACCTCTAATGCCTGGTGATCAAGGAGGACCAGACCAAGATAAATGAGGTGGGTACGTCGAGCCTCTTCAACAAGGCGCAACAAGCGCTAAATCGGGTAAATCATTGGCCCCTTGTATCCCATTGTGAATCCTACTTAGGTTTTCCTTTGATGTTTCTTACTAATTTCATCATTTTATAAGACCTAGTGCTTCACTATGAAAGCTTCTTCTAGTACTGCTTGGAAATCAGCCAGCTCAAGTTCGAGCTCAAAGAGCAGGTCTGGAATAAGGACATGTATAGGATTCTGAGCAAGAAACAAGACAAGGCCCTTATAGACCTCCCGATTCTCCAGGTCGAGCTGGAAAAAGCTCAGAAGGAGGCCTTGACCTGAAGCGGGTACATGTCATCCTGGTTGAAAAGGTAAAGATCTTTGAAGCTAAAAACGAGGAGCTAGTCGTGGTGACTAACAACACAATTTCGTAGTTCCAATAGAAGATTGACCTGATCGACCAGCTCTGAGCTGAGATGAACGAGGTCAGGCCATGGCCAAAGGGTGGAAAGGCAGGATGGATCTGTTGGCTTTGGAGAAGGAAACTACAAAGGCGGAGTTGACAATGGTCGATAACCAACTCAGGGTGGTGAAGGATAAAGCTGATAAGTGGTCTCATCTGAATGATGATCTTTGAGCACAGCTGAGCTTGACCGTCGCAGAACTAGACGCCCTCAGAAAAGAATGTGAGGCACTGAGGTCCAAACTAGACACAACCTTTGCTGATGTGGAGGAAATGGTGGCCCAGTACAAGGACAATGTGGAGGCAACCGAGACCCACCGGAAGACAAAGGCTGAGTACATGAAGCGACTGTCTCGAAGAGAGAACCTCGAGGAGATCCATGCCCGAGGCTTCTGCCTATCGACCTAGATTGAGGAAGCTAAGAAAATTGAGGCTGAGATAAAAGAGCTCTACGAGCCTGAGGGTGCCGAAGGCTCTGAGGATTTCGAGGGTTCAGAGGGATCTGACGGTTCTGGCGACGAGTCGGGCCATGGTGAAGACTAGGCGTAGATGCCTTAGTACTTTTTCAGTTTTTGTTTTTCCTTATGTAAAGATTTTTGTTTATTTGAGGCTGTTTTTATAGGGACTTTGTAAATACATTTTGGAATATATATATGAAATTTCCCTTTCTGGAAATATCGTGTCTTTACTTCTCCAGCATCATTTTGCAATTTCTATTCATGTATTGTTTTTGATGCCTTAGCATAGAATCGAATGTAGTTATTGGGCATTCATTTTTTGGAGGTCCGAATGAAGCCCAACTTCGATGTAGCTTTGTTTGCTTGTGGCTTCAAAACCTCGGTGCGACCGAAGGTTTCCAAGAAGCTTAAGTGTCTTTAGACGGTACTTTTGCTGAGAGTAACCTTTTAGTAGGTTTTGAGTTTTTGTAAAGGCCTTGCTTTCTGACTACGAGCTTCGGATGTCTCCGAGCTATTTTTAGGGTGTCCGTAGCCTTTTGTATTTGGGCACCGCCTAATAGGTTTGGTGCCTCCAGGATTCGGTACCTCGGGCCGTCTGAGTTTGCTTTGGGTGACAGTCCCCGAGTAGGGGTAGCCTTTCGGCTCGATAGTCCCCGAGTAGGAGTAGCCCGTGGGCTTTAGGATCCGAAATCGAAGAAGCAAAAAAAAATCGCAATAGCAAAGCAGGATTTTCTTTCATTTCTTAGTGTGCAAAGTACATGATCGAAAGTGCATAAAAACCTATGTCTTGGCTAGAGTGGACTATGTGAGCACGGTTTATACAATCGTTTGGCCCTTACAATGAATCCTAACCACCAAGCCTTAGATTTTAACATACAAAATTTTCTTTTTTTTTTCTTGCTAAAAACCTTAATCCGAGGGTAATGTCCCCCCAGTAATCGAGGTTGAACTCGTGAGGGCTCGGATACTGTTGATATGATATGAACGATCATTTACTCCGATTTGAAACCTATCTCCAAATCTAAGTTAGCACGTTTTACTATTGCCTTGTTAAAAACTTTGTCGAAAAACCCATTTTAGGACAAAATCGGTTCAAGGAAAAAAGAGTGCAACGCGTGCTTTCAAGCCTTATAGTCACATCCATCCTCGATCGTTTACCTGTAAATGCTAGTCCGATTTATAACATGTTTAAAGAGTAACTGAGTTCGTACCTTAGCAATAGTACCACTTAAAGTATGCCATGTTCTAGTTGTTCGGTAGCTGTACACCATTTCCCGCTTCGAGTTTGTACAAGCCTTTACTGGTTATTCTGACAACTCGATATGGCCCTTCCCAGTTCGGTTCCAGCTTCCCCTCGTTCGGGGTTCCTGGTATGTAATGTTACTTTCCTCAACACCAAGTCCCCAACTTGAAAGTGTCGGAAGCTCGCTCTTCAATTGTAATACCTTTCTATTCGTTGTTTCTGAGCGGCCAACTGGACCAGGGTGGCCTCCCGTCTTCATCCAATAATTCTAGGCTCGTGATCATAGCCTCGTTGTTTGGCTCTTCTATCGCATATTGGAATCTGAGGCTTGGTTCTCCTACCTCGACTGGTATTAAGGATTTGGCTCTGTAGACCAATGAAAATAGGGTGGCCCCAGTGCTAGATTTTGAAGTCGTTCTGTACGCCCATAGGACTTTGGACAGGATGTCCTTCCATTTCCCTTTTGCATCAGTCAACCTCCTTTTTAGGTTCTGAAGTATGGTCTTGTTTGTTGATTCTGCCTGCCCGTTCCCACTAGGTTGATAAGGTGTTAATAATTGATCTTGTGATCATCAAAAACTTTACTTACCTTGTTACCGATGAATTATTTTCCATTATCGCAAATGACCTCGGCTGGTATCCCAAATCTACATATTATGTGATCCCAGATGAAGTCAATGACCTCTTTCTCCTGGACCTTTTCGAATGCATGAGCCTCGACCCATTTGGAAAAATATTCGGTCATGAATAGTATGAATTGAGCTTTACCGGGTGCCCATGGTAGGGGACCGACAATGTCCATTCCTTACTTCATAAATGGCCACGGAGATAAAACCGAGAGGAGCATTTCCCTCGGTTGATGAATCATCAGGGCATGTCTCTGGCAGTCATCACATTTCTGTACGAAATCCTTCGCATATTTCTCCATCTCGGTCCAGTAATAGCCAACCTTAATCTGTTTCCGAACCAAGGATTCTGCCCCCGAATGGTTCCCATAAGTGCCTTCGTGAACTTCTC